TGCCACATTCCTGGGCCTTGCCCGTGGACACTCCGGTTGAGGCTCGCAGCTTCCTGTTTTTGACCTCAGACTCCTGCCCACTTGCGGATTCTGGCTCTTTGCCAGGGACTGACCAGGCCACCATTTCAGAGCCCAGGGGCCCCCTGCACCCCTCATCCCTAGAGGCCCTAACAACAGTTTCTGCAGCTGGAAAAACTGGTCTTTTGGGACAGTGAGTTGGAGGGGGAGAGGGGCATGGGGCTGGAGGAATGCATCCACACACCCTCTGCATCCCCCTAGAGGGCTATAGAGTGGTTCCCTGGCCCCTGGAATAACCTCCTTCTGCAGCTGCCCAAGAGTGAAAGGTAACTCTCGGTATTGACTTTCTTTGCCCAGAAACCTGTGGCCAGGCCACCCTCTCCTTGTTTGGGGCAGGGAAGGAGCTGGGATGGTGAAGGGAGGTAGACTTTGTTTGAATTGTTAAAACTTCGTAACGTTGAGCAAGCTGAGCAACGTCTCTGGGCCTCAGTTGTCCCATCTATCCAAGGGGAACACCCGGAAAGGGGAAAGAGAAATCATAACCAGCCTAAGTCAGGGGAGGGGGTTTGCTTCTGAATCTGTTTAATAGCTGATGAAGGTCTGAATGGTGAGCTGTGGGGTTGTAAGTGGATTATATGCATGTAAGTGTTAGGAGGTCCCAATAATAAGCGGCTAACGTTTATGTAGTATTTACTAGGGGCCAGGCGCTGTCCGAGCACTTCACGTGTATTTGCTTGCATCCTGCGGTTCTCAGGCCAAGCCTAGGAGATGTTTTTATCCTTCCGACAGATGAAGGCACCAAGGCACAGACAAATGAAGTCTTTTTCACACAGCTACTCAGTGGTTCGATCCCAGGCCTTGGGGCTCCAGCTCACCCTCTTTTGCTTTTGTTCCAAACATCTGCGGTGGCTTCTCTTTCTCCTCTTCCTGGGGACCCAGGGTACCTGCCTGCTGGGCATGGCTGTGCCCCGAGGCTGGGCAAGGATCCGGGGTGGGGGCGGGAGGACGCCTGGAAGTGGGGAGGCTGAGGGCTGTGCCTGAGCAGGAACCAAGAATCCAAAGCGTGGAGCCGGGCGGGGTGCGGGGGGAGAGATGGCAGCCCCACCAATGGAAACTCCTGTTTCTGCTGCCCACCTGCCCCCGCTGGTGCCCTGCCAAAGGCCTGGTCCACAGAGCTGCCCCAAGCCTGGGGTCAGCAAGGCTTGCCCAGCCACGCGTGAACAGGTCAGATGCCTCTCCCAGCCCTGGCCACTCTGTGGCTCTAGCCCTTGTCATTTGGGGCTCTGAGGAAAAATGGGATTCTCATCTCTGAGCCCCTCTAGTCTGTGTCGTACGTGTGCACGTTTGCAGAGCTGCCCACCCGTGTCAGGGCGGAGAGTGGAGAAGGTGATTCCGGGCTGAATGCCAGGCCTCTCCAGTCAACAGATGGTTCCTGAGCACCTACTCTGTGCTGGGCACTGCTGGGTGCTAGGCATCTCTGGGGCATGAGACAGTAAGCTCATCCTCCTGGCATCTGTGGCCAAAGGCTTGCCTTCCCACCTGCCCCCCCCGGCCTCCTTCCAACAGCCACCACCTTGGGTCACTTGGATTCCTCAGCTCTGTGGAGGACTGGGACAGTCTCCACTGTGGTCGTTAATCCCAGCTCGGTCACTCGGTAGTTGTACTGCCTTGAGCAGTTCTTTATCCTCTCTGGGTCTCAGTTCATTCACTCAGCCTGCAGGTATTTATTGAGCGCCTACTATGTGCAACCTACACTGTAGCGGGGGAGACAGACCATGGATGACACCTTTAATAAGCACCACATTGTCAGTTGTGTTAGGAGGTGAGGGAGAGAGCCATGCGGGTGTGGGGGGGATGAGCGCTGCAGGGAGGGGGCGCAGCCAAGGGCAGAGTCCCTAGGTGGGAGCAAGCCCGGCATGGAGGAGACCCAGAAAGGAGGCCAGGGGGGCCGAGGCACTCACTTTAGCGGGGGTGGGGGGTGGGGCACCAATAAAACAGCACGTTAGGTGGTCAGAAGCGCGAAGGAGAAAACTGGCTTCCTCGGTGAGAAGACAATAATCGTGGCCCCCAGGGTTGCTGTACCTGCCAGCCCGGGGTCGGGCCCAGTGAACAGGAGTCACTGCCTGGTTGTCCTGTGATCGTTTGTGTGTGATTTGTCTCCAAGACCAGGGGCCATGTCCTACCCCTTGAGCCCAACCTGCCTGGATCCCCGCAGGGGGTCGCTACCTGTTGGAGACAGGCTCTGGCTGGTGCAGGATTTCTGGCCGACCAGAAGGCAGGAGCTGGGAGGGCCCCCAGGACTCTTGCCAGAGGTTTCCAGATGTTGGGCCTTGCCTGTACCCTTATGCCTCCCCCGAGAAGGTTTTCCAGTTCCCGAAATGGTAAAGCGGAGGGAACACGGGGGCGATGCCGTGAACCGAACATAGGCTAAATGGATTCCATTTAAAAATTATGAACTTCCCACTTTTATGAAATGTCCTTTTTTTAAGAGATTTTATTTATGAGAGAGAGAGAGCAGGGTGGGGGGGGGAGCAGAGGGAGAGGGATAAGCCGACTCCATGCTGAGCGCAGAGCCCAACATGGGGCTCGATCTCAGGACCGCCAGATCATGACCTGAGCCGAAACCAAGAGTCAGACTCTGAACCGACTGTGCACCCAGGTGTCCCCAAAATGTCCTTTTTTGAACTCGTGGCACCTCCCTCTATTTTTTACTTTTTGGGGAAATGTTTCCTTCTGCATTATGCCAAAGTCTGGGAACCACTGACCTAGTTGTCCCTCTGCTGTGCAGATCACTGGACCTGTGACCCCGGGAGGTGCCTGGTTTGCTCGGGGCCACACACAAGAGTTAATTGTCCTACTTTGGGTCAGAGAATGGGGTGGGGGTGGGGCGGGGGGAGCTACGAGAGGGAGCCAAGAAGAAGAGAAGTCCTGGACAGAGCCAGCCAGGAGGAGGGTAGCCCAGCTCCGGCTAAGTGGGGGCAGGACCCAGCGTGGCACCTGGTAATGAGATCCAATGTGAATCTGTGGCCAATCCACACCGTGGGCGCTGGGGTTGCCCTCTGCTAGGCTGCTGGAGGCCTGGACCCTGGAGTCCAACACTCAGGTTCCAAACCAAGCCTGCGCCTTCCTAGCTATAGGGACTTCACACACATCCTCTAACCTCTCTGGCCCTGCTGTTCCCACCCTAATGAGACAGCACAGTGCCCTCCCAAAGCAGAAATGCTGCACCGGCCAGGGCTTGTCCGCAATAGGTACTGAACCCCTCTAGGGATCCAGGCAAATTGGGCTCAAGAGCCCCCAGAACCAACGAGGGGAGCCACACTGGCAGGTGGATAGCTCCTTCTCTGTCGAAGGGGGTTGAGTTAATGTGGAAGAACGTGAACCCTCGAAGGGATCCTATTCTGCCTGGCATTTAGTCATACCTGCTGCTTCTCGAGGGCTGACAAAGAAGCCTGGTACTAAGTGTTCACAGTGGGTTATCCCCGTTGAGGGGCAGGTGCCCAAGGAGGTGGATACCCTTGTGCCCATTTCACAGCTAGTGAGGGGGGGGACTGAGACCCAAACCCCGAGTACTTTATTTTCGGTTATTCTCCTATTCATTCTCCTACATTAAAGCTCTTGGGGGTTTACATGGCAGACTGGAAGGTCTTGTGTCCCGGGAGATGCGTAAGTACAGACTTGGTCACCGGTTAGTGGAATATGGCAGCAGGAATTTAGAAGCAGATGGAGTGGCGGATCTAGATAACATTTAACATCATTTTAAACATAGGCTTCTTGTAATTTCACAGTAAGGACCTTATTTCCCTGGTCTCACCTGCTCCCTTGATGCTTCGACCAGAGCCGTGTACCCTGTGGTCCTCAAAAACAGTCGAAGGAGGGGGCGATGCCCATGTCTGGTCTGCTCAGTAATGGGGAAAGCGAGGTCCAGGGAAGAGAGGGGATTTGTGGAGTCCAGGGCTAGGGTGGGGACATATCCCCTGCTTTCCCATCTGAATACAGGTTCTAGGGTGGCTTGAAGATTAGCAACAAGGCAAGCAAGCTGCCTGGCGCTGTGCCCAGCATAACAAGTGCTTACTAATTAGCGGTGTTTTGTTTTTGAAGCCGGATGAATGCCTGCTATCTGCCCATCGGGGTTAGGGAGGCGGGCTCTACAGGAGTCAGAGCCGAGGTGAAGCTCTGCGTGGGTGAGCCTCAGTTCCCTGATCTGTAAAATGGAAGTAATATAGAGCTACCTTGTGGGCCCACTGGGAGAGCCTAAGAGATCATGCGCGTTGTTGGTGTTTCATTCTGGAGGCTGTTGCTTGTGTCCCGCACCCCTCCCCCTCCTGCACATCTGGTTCTGAAAGGCATCATTTGAGGAGAAGGTGGCCCTGTTTTACAGGTGAGGACACGGACGAGAACTATATATAATCCAAGCTCCCAAGCTATAGACAATCATTTTCTGGCTAGAGCAAAGACTAACAACGCAATAGCTGCTGTTTATTGGGCACTTGCTGCATGCCAAGAGTCATACGTACACTCTCCTTGGAGTCTCTTAAAACTTGAGAAGTGGCTGTGATGATTGCACCCATTTGTCAGATAAAACAATAGAGATCTAGGGAGGAATTAATAAGCTAGGGTCACACTTAAGAAGTTAATGCTGGAAACCCGGCAGCTTGTGTTTGGGGCTCACAGCTTCATGGATCTTGGAGCTGGGGTGCCCTGGGGGAGGAGGCCCAGGTCCCTACACTGGTAATTCAGAGGCTGGCTGAAGGTGTTCAGGGCAGACCCTCCGGGCCCCACCCCGGGCTGCCAAGCATACTTCCTGCCCACGGGGCAGATTCCTGCAGATCTGCCTCTAGGGGTTGACAGGGGGCCAGGACAAACACTGGAGCCAAGGCCGGCCACCTGGCGTGGGAGCAGACACCGGGGCTGTGGGCCTACATGTCAGCAAGTTCTGCCTGCTGACCCGGGTCTCAGCGCTGTACTTTCCACCTTCGAAGGAGTTTCTCTGTGACCAGAAGTACAGCGATGAAGAGAACCTGCCGGAGAAGCTCGCCGCCTTCAAAGGTAAGCTGGGGCTGTCTGCGCCACCCTCCCGGGAGAGCTGGGCTGGCCCCCTGGCGCATAGGATTTCTTACCCCACAAGGCCAGCCTGCGCCCCCTGCTTCTTCCAGAACGCCCTCCTCCTGGAAGCCTGTGAGATGGGATGCCCACCCCTCTACCTGCCTCCATGCTACCCCAGGCCCCTCACCCTTGCCCTCAGCCTCCCCCACCTCCCCAATCCCTCCAGCTGCTGGGCAGGCAGGGCTCAGGCTGGCTCCTGTCCGCTGCTGCCTAGGCCCTGCTCGCTCCCGGGGCCCCAGCACACAATCAGCCCTTTGTAGCAGCCCTGGCCTCTCCCCTCCGCGGGGGAGCGGCTCGGGAGCCCCTGTGCAGAATGGACGTTTGTGTCGCCACAGTGGGGCAGGGGGCAGAGTTTCTGCCCATTGAATCCCAGCAGCACGGGATGAAAAGAAAACAGGGCCCGGGAGCCCGCGCGGGGAGGGGGCGGCATAAAGATCCCTCTGTTCCGGGCCCCGGCGCTTGGTTCCCAGCCAGCAGCCCGAAAGGAGAGGAGCTGTGCCCATAAGGAGCAGGGCAGACCCACCTTTCCTGCCTGGGAGACGCTGTCGGCGTGCAGGGAGCCCTGGCCGCCGGAGGACCTCGACGAATATCCTCGAGGCCACATCCCCCCTCCCCCACGAGTATCCTCGAGGCCACATCCCCCTTCCCCCAAGTCTTGGCGATGTGGACATCCTCCCTGCTCCAAAGGCAAAGAGCCTGCCAAGTGCTCCTCAAGCTGCTCACAGCTTCGTTGTCCTTAGGCAGGACCCTGATGGTGAAGCCTTTGTTGAGTGTTGACCTTGTGGGAAGCACTTCGAATGCTGTCTTGTGAGCTCCCCAGTCATCCCAAGTCAGCCAGGAGGGAGGTGGGTGCGAGCTTTAATTTACAGATGAAGAAACTCAGGCTCAGAGAGGTGGGGTCACTTGTGTGGGGTCACACAGCTTGCCCATGGCGGAGTTCAGGCTTGATCACGTGTTGGTCTCTCTCCAAAATCCCCTGCTCTGAACCATTACACAATGGGGCTGTTTACATTAACAAAAAGAGGAACTAGAACAGAGACATCCCGTCCCTGCCCCGTTCCACCAACCCGTCCCGCCACCCCCAGGAGAGCCACACAAAGCAGGAGCGGTCCATTCCCTTATCCCTGGGTACCAAGGGGGTCCTCTCCAGAGGTGGCTCTAGGAGGAGGGACAGAGCTCTTCTCTGCTTGTCTTCACTGGGACGTAGGCTTGGGTCCGTCAGGGTGGACCGGAACCATGGGAACTTAGCTTGGAATCAAAGGGACTGTAAAGGTTTTCAACTCACTCATTTGACCTCCAAATGAGCACCTACTATGTGCCAGCCCTACTTCAGGCCTGGGGTGCAATGGGGCACAGAGAGCCCTGAGTAAAGGAGCTTGTGTGCGGCAGGGGAGGGAGTGGGGAACAGAAGGACGCTGCAGAGCCACAGATGGCTGTAGAGGCTTTGTGGGGGTGACAGTGCCCCACCAGGAAGACTGGGGAGCCCTGAGAGCGTGAGCGGGGGCCCAGAGAATACCTGGGAGGAACATCTAGGCCGAGGGGCAGCACTCCCCGGCAGGAGTGTGGCAGGGAGGGGGTGGCGGGGTGAGGTGGAGGGATGGGCCAGGAGCAGCAGGACCTGCTGGAGTGGAGCAGAGGTGAGGGAGGAAGAGGCAGCCCGAGAGACTGGAGGGTAGACCCTCAGGAAGGTCACAGGGACCACTCCGGCCACTGGGAAGACCTTGGCCTTCTCATACTGGCTGTTCAGTGCAGACTAGACCGCGAGGACCCTGTTTTTTTGTGGTGTGTGGGGGGGTGGGGACCTGCCCAGGGCCACATGCTGTCCTTGTCAGAGGATACCAAGCTCCTTGCTCCACCTATCCTCCCTCATTGTTGGAGATTCCCTGGACCCTTTGATCAGAGAGGCTTCACTCAAGGTCTGTAGGTGAGGTTTGGTGGGGAGGGTCTGCGTACCCCTGGACACTGTATGTGCCACCTGGGTCAAGGGCAGGTTCACGGCATTTCTCTCAGGAGAGCATCAGATTCTCAGTGGTGCCCACAGGCGCCCCTCCCCCCCCCCCCCCCGCAAAGGTTCAGAACCGCAGGGACTCCTTAAATCGGTGATTCCTACACCCGGCTCAGAATCACCTGAGACACTCTAGAACATACCGATTCCTGCCCCCACCCCACCCCACCCTTCCCAAAGCCACTGCACCCGTAGATCAGGGCCTGGGAATCTGTTCTAGTCAGTTTGGAGCCAATGTGATGCAGCAAGCTCATGCTGGTGGGGACCTGGGAGGAAGTAGCTGCCCTCCTCAGCGGAGAGTCACATGGCCCCTAGCGCCTTGTTCCATGGTGCCTGTGGGAGAGGGGTGCAGGCAGGGTGAACTCTTTCTCCAGAGACCATGGCTGAGATAATGGGACTCATGTCAAGACCCCCAAGTGAGGGGGTGAGGAGGACGGTGTGGGCTTCCTGGGAACCCGGCAAGTTGCCCTCAAGGGCGTCTCTGGGACCCTGCTTCTGAGCTAACGCCAGTTTTTGCTCTGTGATTTCCAGAGAAGTACATGGAGTTTGACCTGAACAATGAGGGCGAGATTGGTAAGTGAGGCCTCAACTGTGCAGGGGAGGAGGGTGTCCGGTGGGTAGAGGGTATGAGGGTCCAGAGAGCCCCACTGGCCCACCTGTGTGGGTGAGGGGCACGCACTGAAGCTTCCCTGATGGGCCAGGCCGGCATGCCGGCCTTAAGCCTGGCTGCCTTCTACCCTGGATCCACTGCCCCCAGGCTCCTCTCCTTGCTGCGGCCCTCCCACCCACCTCCCTGCGCATGTCTCAGCCCTCCACGCCAGGTGCCACGGGGACTCAGGATAGAGGGTGCCACTCCTGCCCAGGGTTGGAGATGCTTGGGCTCTTGACGCCCTGGCCCTGGCGGGGGCGGGGGGGCGGGGAGATGCTGGCGGTTCCTTTGTCCTTGCATTTGGATACGGCGCTTCTGAGTACATTGCTTCCCTCCTCCAGCAGACCCTGATTGTATCGTGTGGTCCGGGCATGGGGGGTGACAAACGCCTGTCCCTTGGCCCTTAGGTCCAAGACCATACCTTGACCTTCACGAGTAATGCTATAACATGGTCAAGGCTGGCTTAATTATCCCCATTTTACAGACGAGGAAGCCGAGGCTCAGCAGGGTGAACTTGACTCTCTTGGGGCACGTGGTGGTTAAGTGGTCGGCCCAGGGTCCAGATCCCAGCCTTTGGTCCCCAAACTGGCTTTCCCTCCTGTGTTTCACCCTGAGCTCAGTGTTGCCGCTGCTGCGATATTTCTACCCCTCCTCTGTCTTGTCTCCTTCTTCTCCTTTTTAAAAATTTTTGTCCTTGCTTTCCTTTAGGAAAAAAAAAATGGGGTTATCAAATAATACATATTCATCATAAAAACTTTTGGAAAACACAGGAAAGCACAAAGACAAAAATAAGTCAACCACAGTCCTCCCTCCCAGAAATAACTGCCCTGAACATTTTGGTTTATATCCTTCCACCCTTTGTTCTAATCACAAATGCTGTTTTATAACCATTTTAGAACCTCCTTTTTAAAAAATAATATATTGTGAGTGCTTTGACATATGATTAACTTTTCTTTTGGAATATAATTAATGGCTGTGTAATATTCCACCGCGGGGTGGGGCACCTGGGTGGCTCAGTCGGTTAAGCGACTGCCTTCGGCTCAGGTCATGATCCTGGAGTCCCGGGATCGAGTCCCGCATCAGCCTCCCTGCTCGGCGGGGGGTCTGCTTCTCCCTCTG